TTTGACGATATATTGGCTATTTTTGTGGGCCTCTTACTTTTCCAGTCTTCTGTAATCTAGTAGTAAAGCAAATGTTTACACAAGTGTTATATTCCAGCAATAGCTGGTGATAACCTCAAGGTCAAAGCTAAGGTCACCTCACACCCCAACATGGGTCACTAAAAATAATCAGTCAGATAAAAGTCAACGTGCACCTTTTTCCAACATTTCCATTCGGTTGAAGTTTTAGTAATCGGTGCGTTCACTGATAATTAGACATAATAATTACTGACCACCAGCTGAAAGGCAGGTTAAACAGGACAGTGGTGACTTTTTGCAATTCAGTTCTTACTTAAAATTCCTTGAAACACTATTTCTTTTGGTGATAGACTTTTGTCAATATCATTTATTTAAAAAAATCACTTGAAACATTTTTTCATGTCCTCAAGTGAAGACAGACACCAATGAAATGCTATGATGATGCAATATTTGTATCAAATTTATATAATGTCAAATGTTGCTCTATATAAGCCAGTGAAATGTCATTTAACTGCATTGCATTGGTGAACATGTACTACTAGTACTACTACTACTACTAATAATATGAACCCAGTTAGCTGTGTCCCAGTTCAGGGGCTGCATTTGAAGGCCGTGAGGAACAGCAGTGTGACAAGGCTGTCCCATTTTGAAGGCTCCTTCATATGCGGCCGCAAAATGTGTCCTCCTTTTCCATGGCAACAAAGGATCCAACAGGTGGATCCTTCACCAGCCAACATATCCCAAGGTTCATTGCATGCTGGCAAGGATTCGAGAACATGTTGGTGTCACTGGAGGAACAAACGGCGTCTGGGGAGACACTTTTAAATGTAAATGGGTTTAAACTGAGTTGAATAGCTAATGATACATAGCCAATGTGGTCTGAAGCAAAACGTATGCTGTTTCATTTTGTTTTAGGGAGCAAGGAGCAGACAGAGAGAAGCATCTCCAGCTATAATAAATGAAAAAAACAAAAAAACAAAATAAAATCAGCTCCATCTTTAAAGAACGTTACAAGAACTTGACAAGAGCGGCGTTTCGTGACGCAAACAGGAAATCCACCGTAGAGCGGACGGTCTCATTTCAGCCTTCGTGGGTCTATGCAACCTTCGAAGGACACGCCTTTGTAGACTGCGTCCTTTGAAGGATGCAGCCCTTGAATTGGGACACAGCTAGTTATATCAGTAAAAGCTCCTTTATTGCTTAGACTTGCGAATGTTTTGTAGCAAATTTTGTAGGTAATTGTGAGACGATTGTGTAGCCAATGGGAACTTTCTATCGAGAAGCAGTCATTTTATCATTAAAACTCCTTTTTATTATGCCATTACTCAGAATTACTCAGAAGGACACACACACGCACACACACACACACACACAGGTCACTTTCTGTAAGTTGGTGCAGCTTCACTTTCTCCACTCCAGGCTGCCGGTAAATGCAGAGCAAATATTTAATTTTCCGTAGGAGGCGACCAGAGAGGTACAAGGACACACTGAACTTTGTAGAACACACACACACACACTCATACATATGCACACATGTGGGCACACATAGTGACTTATTCAAACCTTAACACACACACACACACACACACACACACACACACACACACAACAAACTCATTACAATGAAGCACATCTCATCAGGTGGAAACATTATTTAAGCAATGTTGATGTCATTATTTATTAGACATCCATTAGTCACTTTTTCCTATCCTTAAATGTAATCTGCACACCCACCCACACACACACACACACACACACACACACACACACACACACACACACACGTTACTGACCAGTAGGGACCTAATTTCTTCAAGAGACTCAGTTCAAAGTGTTGTTTGATTTACAAACTGAATATAAGTCGACATCAAATAAATTAACTTTGTTCTCTTCAATTAACTGGTTTACATAAAAGGGGACTTCATTAATTGAAGTACAGTTTAAAGAAATCTATTTCTTTTGATTCAAAGAAAATTTCATTCGTATAAAAGCCAAATAAACTGCACTGAAATTTAAAACACATTTGTTTAGTAGAAGTAGACGTATGCTAGCCCAAACAAGTTGTAGTTGTATTCATTTGCAGTAAGAACTGTAATATTTTTATTTAGAACACATTGTTCTTATCTTTCCATTGTTTTAAATGTCTTATGTTTCTGTGTTGACGCACTTTGAGTTTGTGTAACTAAAATGAAAAGTGCTGTAACAGAGGTTGGCAACCCCAAATGTTAAGAAGAGCCATTTTATCATTTCAACAAAAATCTAACCAACTTGGAAGCAACAACATTTTCTGTCCATTTTACCATCTTGGCTGTAAATATGTCTCAGTATGTGATGTCCTACTACAGGCTAAAAATATAATATAAACAAAAACACAGACTTACTTTACTCTGCTTTAAGCTGTAGCTCAGCTATAGCTGCTTTTCTCACATCTCCAGCAGGAAACTTTTCCTCAAAAGTAGCACAGTTTCTCATAAAACGTCTCTCAACGTTGGACTTTTCAAGAGGCTGAATTTGCTTCTCATTCGCCATCTTCTTGCTCGAATTTTCCCATTCCACCTTAAATGGTGCCTGAGGTGCCAGAATGTAACTGCTACACCATTTAAGGTGGAACGGAAAAATTCGAACAAGAAGCTGGAGAATGGCAAGTTGACTTCAGCTTCGCAACTAGTGTTTGACAGTTTCTTGTTGCAGATTAAATGTATCAGGAAATCAGCTGAGTGTTTATATAGGCAAATGAGTCCATTTGTCTCCAAATTATCGATTTTCATCTTAAATTTATTCTTTTTGTCTTTTCAATAGCTACTAGCTAGGTGGGATTGTTGTCTGCATTTCAGGGTTAAAGGGTAAATTAGCAGTTCTAGGCTACATTAACTCCAGGGTTTAAGACCATTTACTGTTAAAATTGTGTTAGAAAGATCAGCAGAGCTTTATTTTACTGCAAAGGAGATTTTTTTAATTTTACTTAAAAATTCAATTCTGCTGTGGAGCCACAACAGGGCAGTTAGAGAGCCACATGCGGCTCCGGAGCATCATGTTGCCGAGCCCCCTGCTATGAAAATAATAAAGAGTTATCAGTTTCTTAGTGTTATGTCGAGCATATGCTGATGTTACTCTGTTTGACTGAATTGAAATGCATGGCCTAATTTAATTAAGTTCATACTTTAATTGGATATTTCTTTGAACTTTTTTATTCCTATTATAACTTCAGTCTTATAACTTATTTTGATATTCTGTTAATGTTTAATATACACACTTTACTGCATTGCTGTTCCTTTTGTGGAATGTCAGCCTCATTCTTACTTCCAACTAAGACAAGCCTAAATGTATAGCATTTACAGTGGCATATTGGAATGAAGGGGTTCCCATCAAGCATTGGCCCAACTCTACAACTTTACAACTGATCTATCGGTCAGTAAACTGTTGTTGCTTCAGTGCAGTCAATGTAATGAGTGTCAGCTGTGCCTGCTGGGAAAGTACCCACCACGTAATCACCAAATGGGGCCTAAATGAAAGGCTCAGGCATGTTAGGACCCAGAAACAGAAAGGCATTCTAGAAATTTCCAGCCGCAGCCCCCTCGCCTATAGCAGTAACTGGCCTGCGGGTATCTGTGTGTGTCTCTGTGATCTTTGACCCTGCCCACTGCGCACACACACAAACACACACACACGCTGGAGGGTTTGTTAGCTCTCTTCTGGGTCTAAAGGCAACACAGCTTATCGAACTGGATAAGAAAAGCTGCTTTAACTCTGAACATTTCTGCTGATGCTGAAAATTCCTGGCTGTAGTCTGGCAGAGTGGACACACTGCTCAGGCCAACGAGCACAAACATCAGCATCGGTCATGTGGGAAAAACCTTTATCTCGCAAACACACACAGACAGCATCATTCTCATGATCGATACTCAGAATTCCCAAAAAACACAATCACAGTTTGTCTCAGGACGCCGGGATACAGATTCAGTCATTACAGGACACAGCAGTGCTAAGACTGTGAACTATGACTTAAAGCGATAGTTCAGCAAAATAACATGAATGTACACAATTTTCTTACAAATAGACAAAATTCAGGTTTTAAAATGTCCACAAGTGTTCATAGATTTGCAGTTTAGTTATGTTCATTTTAGCTGTACAGGAGAAGAAATAATATTCACACACTGTGATTTTTGATATATACACATACATCAAATGTGTACACAATAGTGCTTAAAAGTTTTAGAATTTCATATGTTTCTGCATAACCTAAAAAACTCAATATATTTAAAATTGAATCATTTTCCTCAATAAATACATGACCGGGTCCCAAGTCTAATACTTTTTTAGGAAAATCTCATGAAGTTTTAGGTCAGATTTATGCAGAAATATAGAAATTTCTAACGGGTTCACAAACTTTCAAGCACCACTACATCTAGTCGTATGTGACCCTGGTTAAATTGAGTTTTCTAAGAGGACAAACTTCTGCACATTTTTTTAATGAGGGAAAAAATAAAACATAAAATGTGTTGTGTGCAAAAGTTATGGTACATTTTATGTTTTTTTATTTAATTTTTTTCTAGCATGTTAAACTCAAAAAGCTAATAAATAGGAATTGTGAAGACACCACATGAAGCACTGCCATCTTATGTAATAATGTAATGAAACATCACTGGAGTAACATCACTGGGGCTCAATGTGCTTGGAGGAGAACACTAACTTCCAATTCTGTTATGTCAGCTAACAGATGCCCACGTTGGCTAGCATTGTGCTGAAGGATGGGGGGGAAGGAGGGCCATCCTACCCATCCAGAGAGAGCAAGGTCTAAGAACCCCAGTCATGGATGGCGGTCACATCACCGGGGATCAAACAAAGCAGACATTATAGAGGAGAATTTAATCTCACCGAGCAAAGAAACTGAATCTGGGGAGAAGATGGACGTGTCAACAAGGACGATTTTCCATCAGAGGGACCTTCGTAATCTTCATTTATTCTTATGAATGCGTTCTTTTTTTGCATCTTTATATGTACAAAGTTGAAACACAGTGGATATACGCATTGGATGTATATTAAATAACAAAAACAAAAGTGTCGGAATACTTGTTTCCCCTAAATGTATGTCAGAAACCACAGAAGCAAGTTTGTTTTTGAGGTTACCAAACAACTCGACACAGTTTGAAGCAAATGTCTAAGGATAGAGGCCTACAGTTTGCACTATACTAATTCTTGACTACAAGCTGCCATTACTTGTTAGCTACATTAGCCGTGTTGCTCCGGTGAAAAACTACAGAAGCAAACTTGTGACATAGACTAAAGTCTTGGCAGATTATATTTGGGGTAAGTGTTGGGAGGGGTGGGTGGTGCAAAACTATTGCTTTAAAGTGAAGAATGCAGACCATAAAGACAGAGAACAGGACGCTGGTCTCCAGTCACTCGAATGATGGAGAGAACAGATGTTCACCTGTAAACAGAGAGCTCAGGACTCTTCATATGGAAAAGAGAGGCCCATTTGAATTTGCTTTGACACAAACCAAAACAAGACGATGGGGCGAGGGGGGGGTGGGTGGGGGTGAACAGAGAGCATTTAAAGCGACATGCCCCTCCAAATATAATTGACCAGCAAAGACATGCTTGGTATCCCCATGCGGAAATCTGGTATATGGCCATATATACACATATCACAAAGGGTAAAATATATGGTCATATAGGTAGTGTACATATAGTGTACACATATTTTACATTTGGCACTTTGTAGTTCTACAATTACAGACTGTAGTCCTTTTACCCTGTTCTTCAGTGGTCAGGACCCCCATGGACCCTCACAGAGCAGGTACTATTTGGGTGGTGGATCATTCTCAGCACTGCAGTGACATTGACGTGATGGTGGTGTGTTAGTGTGTGTTGTGCTGGTACAAGTGGATCAGACACAGCAGCGCTGCTGGAGTTTACAATGGACAGTGAGCGTAGAAACAAGGAGGCGGTCATAATGTTATGTCTGATTGGTGTGTGTCTGATACAAACACCTGAAGATTTTTAAAGCAAAAAATCCAAATGAAGTACAATAAACTTAAGTACCATTAAGATAGCATTTATTAGCAAGATATTCCATCCATATTTTATGTGATATTTAAATGTTTTCTTTCATATATTTTTAGATATATATGTGTTACACATGGCTGAAATATGAATGGACCAAAACAAATGGCCCAAAATTACTTCGAAAAATGTCTGGTTCCATTGACTTTATTGCTTTGCATTACTTTATTGGACATTAAAAGTTAAGTATGTTTTTTCCTTCTCCTGTAAAGTTGTCATTTTGGAGATACGAGGTTTTGTTGGCTCTCTAGCTGTCTATATATAGCCTGTAGCAAGAAACATCTATGGCCTGTCTATATGAAATGTTTTTTTTTTCAGTTAACACTGTGCACTAAACAAAGTGATGCATTTTATTTACTTGATTCAAAAACATAATTTCTTCCTGAATGAATAAAATACACAACATCAATGCGGTTTCAATCTTTTTACTGTCGCTGTGTTGAAGTACTGTTTTCTTCATGTGTGAATGATTTTAACAGATATAGTTATAGTGTGTACAGAGAAAACTAGTGCATGCATTTTTAATGTCATTTTTATGCAGTAACACTATTTTATTTACTTTTTTTTTACTACCAATGTTGCACCCCAGTAGGATCTCTGGGTCTTGCCTGGCCACCCCATTCTAACAGATCCATCCGCACATCTGATTAAAATATCTTGCTTCTTTAGTTTTGCACTGGAGCTGTGGCTTTGCAAACTGCCTGCCTGAATCATCAGACTTGCGTCAAACTGTGTGGGGTTGTTAGTTAATCTCTAGACTTGCTTATGTGGTTTCTGACTGTGTGGTTGTAAAGTACAGACAAAAGTGCAGACAAAAGGCAAGTTCAACTACAAAACTACTGCTGTTTTAAGCTGTTCAATATTCTTTTGTTCATTTGTACAGATAACAGTGAGTCACACGGTGTCAGAAACCACACAATCAAGTCTGTTGAGTGAATTAAATTTTTCTTGCAAAACAGTCCTTAAGAACACATACGAGGAAGGGGGGGGGCGGAACATGTCTCATAAAGAGTGATTAAAGAAAGTATGATAGCAGAACGACAGAAAGCAAAGAGACAAAATAAATGATCTTCAAGGTTTTATACTAAGGGTTGTCTGAGGAAGATTAATTCTGCCACGCAGCCAGCAGTCATACTCCTCTACGGACATCCTCACTGCATTCTGACGCACTATCTGCAGGAGAGAGAGAGAGAGAGAGAGAGAGAGAGAGAGAGAGAGAGAGAGAGAGAGAATCAAAACAGTGAATAATTTATATAGCACCTTTCTTACATAACAATGATTTATACCCACAAACAAAAATTTAAACAAAATAAAACAAACATACGGTGCTGTGTGAAAGTCAGAGACCACAATATTTTTATGCATTTATCATTTTGCTTAACTAACTGAAGTAATTAAGCTTTTATTTTGTATTTAATTCATATTTCTTTTCATTTTACGATTATATGAATTGGGTTGGTTGTTTTAATAAAAACAATAAATTCAAGTAGATCCAACGGTTTGGAAAGAAAAAAAAAAAGGAAAATCTCTTGGCCATTAAGATTTGCAGTCAGTACTTTCAAGGTACAGTATGTAAATGTTCTCTATGAAATGTTAATAAGTAATATTTAATAATGAACCAGTAAAATAAAAAAAATCTTTGCATTAAAAGTACATTGTGTTGATTTAATTTAAATAGACAAAATTAAAATTAAGTACAACCTATTCATTTATCAGGAGATATTTTTGAGATACGGGATACACCTGCGTAAGGAAGGAGGACGTCAAGGAAAAATAAGTGAAAAACGTGGAGTTCAAAAATGAATTAAAAGCTACAGAGAAAAGGGGACTCCTAACAACCACCTGGAAGACCTGGTAGACACCAAACCTGCCCCCATCAGATAAACAGCACTTAAAGCTTTCATCTCTGAGAGAGAGGAGAAAGTCAAGCTGCTTCAGATCTGAAAACATCCACAGCCGTCCTTCCACTGTGAGAAGACGAGTCAGTGCTGTAGTGTGATGTAAACGGAGATTTTCCATCAGATTGTTGAGTAGAGTGAGAATATAAACACCTCAGTCTTCATCTATAATTGGAATGTGTTCAATCGGACTGGCAAAAGTCTTTGCATGTAAACACAGACACTGATTATATGCTGGTGAACTCGGAGCCTTTTCTTCTAAGCTGTGGTCAGTAAACTTGTGTAGAGCAGACGACTGAAGTTAGAACTCAGACAGACTCTTTAATCTCAGAGCTGCTTCAGTGTTTTGACTGAGTGGTGCTTTGCTACACACACACACACACACACACACACACACACACACACACACACCCTCCAGTCGTCTGTTGCGTCTGCAGGTCCGTACTGGCCTTTCTGAGGGCCATTTGAAGGATGGTTCCTGTGTGTAATCACACAGTCAGGAAGTGAGGGTAAAAGATAAATGAGGGCTGATTATGAAGAGGAGTATATCTGTCATCTTCTCTCTCTTTCTCTCTCATCTTCTCTCCAAAACGTCACACATGAAGCATCGTCAGAGGAGTAAAACACTCTTTTTAGATTAGCTTTTCTCTACAGTTTATGTTTGCCTTATTATTCAACAAGGTTCGGTCGGTATGATATTTATTTATTAATTTACTTTATGGCTATTTGTTGTTTTCATTAAGTAAGGAGAGATTATTTGTTGTAAGTGTAGCTGACCGTTCTTAAAATTCATCGTTCACGAATCACAATTTAATTACATTTTTATTTCCTTCTCGCTTCAGAGCATTTCATTATTTATTATTATATTTCTCTGAGATCAGATCGCTTGTTTTGCTTATCATTGTTTTTATTTTTAATTTTGTATTTCCTTCCTTCCTCGATATTTTTATGCATTTATCATACTGAAGTAATTAAGCTTTTATTTTGTATTTAATTTATATTTCTTTTCATTTTACGATTATATGAATTGGGTTGGTTGTTTTAATAAAAACAATAAATTCAAATAGATCCAACGGTTTGGAAAGAAAAAAGAAGGAAAATCTCTTGGCCATTGAGATTTGCAGTCAGTACTTTCAAGGTACAGTATGTAAATGTTCTCTATGGAATGTTATTAAGTAATATTTAATAATGAACCAGTAAAATAAAAAAAAATCTTTGCATTAAAACTACATTTTGTTGATTGTGAAAATAAACGAACACCCCCTCTACACTACTGCATATTTAATATGTTACTGTTACATTTGCTGTTTATTTGCTGGGAAAAAAAAAACAACGGCCTGTGCAAAAGTTATGGTACATGTGGTATTTGGTATGGTATTTGTGTTTGTGTGTTTATGTGTGTGTGTGTGTTTGTATGTGTGCATGTGTTTAGGTGTATGTGTGCATTTGTGTGTGTGCATATGTCTGTGTTTGTGTATGTGTGTTTGTGCATGTGTGTCTGTGTGTGTGTGTGTGCATGCTTGAGTGTTTATATGTGTGTTTGTGTGTTTATGTGTGTGTTTGTGTGTGTGTTTATGTGTGTGCATGTGTGTGTTTGTGTGTATGTGTGTGTTTGTGTGTTTGTGTGTGCTTGTGCATATGTATGTCTGTGTATGCGTGTGTGTTTGTTTGTGTGTGTGTTTATGTGTGTGCATGTTTGTGTTTGTGTGTATGTGTGTGTTTGTGCATATGTGTGTGTGTGTGTTTGTGTGTTTGTGTGCGTGCATGTGTTTGTGTGTGTGTTTATGTGTGTGCATGTGGGTGTGTTTGTGTGTGTGTGTGTGTGTGTGTGTGTGTGTGTCTGTGTGCGTGCATGTGTTTGTGTGTGTGTGTGTTTGTGTACCGGAGTGGTGTTTCCGTTCTTGTCTGCCATGTGTGTATATTGTGTGTGTGTGCATGTGTGTGTGTGTGTGTGTAGATTTATCTTTTTTAAATATACGTATGTTGGAATCATGGAAAGACTGAAATATTTAATTTTTCATAGTCACTGTGAAACTTCATTAACCATCAAATTAATGATTGCTCAGTTGCTCATGCACTCCTTTGAAAGGCTGTCTGGAGACTTTTGGCCTGAGAGTGCAGACTGGGCTCTGAGTCTGTTACCTCTATAGCCACACACAGGTCGGGGCAGCAGAGCTCCCAGGGCTGAAGGGAGTTTAGGACCCTGAGGAAGACGTGAGGGCGGATCCGCAGTGACCGCTCTGCCGTGAAACGCTTCAGCTTTTCCAGCACACATACCAACTTCCTGTCCAAGTGTGTGTGAGGGGGAAGGCTGCCGAGCAACGCAGCGAGCCTGGAATGAGGGCACACACACACACACACGCACGCACACACACACACACACAAGAGATACTGACTTAAATAACAACAGGTTCTTCAACAGGGTTTTAAAGGGACGCAGAAAATATTTTTCATTTTTGAACTCTCTGACCCCACCCCCCCCTTCCAGTCTACACCACAGAAGTGCTTTTAGGTAGACGAGTAGGTATTTTATTATTATTATTATTATTATTATTATTATTATTATAATGTGTACAGTCTTGTTTTGCAAAACGAAAAGTCACCCTTGACATTTTTGCCACTAAAATAAACAGAAAAAGTCAGAAGTGCCCAGAACTTGGCGATATAGAATAGGAATGTAAATCAAGTGTAGATGTAACTCATTATGTAACAAAGTAATTTCATAAATCAGTTATAGAAGTGTTCTACCTGTGTTTATTATTTGCAATAGCAACACAAATTTTTTTCACAGTAACTGCATCATTCTGCAGAGCACTGGTTGCTAAGGAACTGTTTACTCTGCAGCTAATCATTAGGCTGTGTTTACATGTTAAAAAATTTTTTTTTTCATGCCTCAAAGTGGTCACAGCTGATGCTACATGAAACCACACAAACACTAATGTGTTGACAGCAATACCAGCGAAAATGGATTATTATTAGAGGAGAGCCTTTGCCATTGTTTACTGTTTATTTCATGCGCTGTACTCTTATTTTTTTTGTATGATACTGTGTTTGCAACGAGACTTTCGGCATCAATGGCTCATAAAACAAAAAATCAACATCTGTTTTATTCCACCTGCTGTGTTTGATGGTAAAAGTTGGAAAACTGTACTCTTGGTGGAATGTACCACCTACAGCTGCGGTGGTGGATATCCTGGTTGGCCATTGTCCATCTATTATAGCCAACATGTAGATGCAGTATTATTAATTTCTACTTGAGCACATACAAAAACATAAAATTATTACATTAGGTAATATACAGAAGATAATATTTGACCTGCAGCATGTTTGATCAGATTCTGAACCTGTTATTGCCACCAAGTGTTTAGGTTTAGCAACTGCAACAGAACAATTAGACAAACTGGAATAAGCCATTCAGCAAACAAGATGGGCTGTGAAATACAAAATAACATTCAGGTTTATCTGGTATTTAAAAAGCTGAGCTGAACCTGATATTGTGAGTTGCATTGCTTTATCTATAATGCAGAAGGGCACAACTTTTTGCAGTGGAAGCAATTGTCAGTATGGAAGCACATTTGATGCAACATTCGAGGCTTCTTTGCTTTATTTTTTTCTTTATTTTGCAAAACTGTAGAAAAATGAGATTGTTATTGCAGATAACATAACAGCTGTGATGATCTACTGAACTTGTACCTGTATTGAATCCCAGCCATAATTGGCTATAGCACACTCCCTCTCACGTTCTTTGCCTAAATGCAATGAATCTATAATGAATTGTGTAAATTGAACAGCTTATTGCACATAAATGCTAGTCTAATGTATAAACAACGTATTTAGTAAACAAACACACACCACTGGGTGCTGTAGGGTCTGTCTGGTACATCTGTGTTCTCTGATTGCTGTTCGCCCAGTGTAAAGGTTACGGAGCACAAAGAGGAAGTGAGAGATCTGTAGGTAGACACATTGGAGAGGATCCGATATCTCTGAACTCCACTGCTCCATCGTTTCCTACAGAGAGAGAGAGAGGAAGAGAGAGAGAGAGAGAGAGAGAGAGAGAGAGAGAGAGAGAGAGAGAGAGGAAGAGAGAGTAAAAAAGTGAAAGGATGTTCTGTTTGTGAGCTGTTTGGTGAGACAATATTTAGATGGTCCCCTGTTGGTGGTTTGTATATAATCACCTCTTATTTAAAGGAAAATTTAAAAATTAAATATTGATTAATTAAATCAATAAACACTAAACAAACTCATTCAAAGTGGTTTGATTTTGATTGAAATGCTCTGTTCTAGAGAAAATGACTGAGCCAGAATTCATAGTGGTGATGACAGGAACCAGATGTATGAAGATTTTAATGCCTCTGAAAGCTCCCCAACAGAAAGATACTACGTGATATGGTTATAAATACGCTGCCCGATGCTTCAGACATTGTTTTACGAAAGTTTTGAGAAGGTTTTGGCCAAAAACATATTTTTAAAAGCCATTTATGGTTGAGAAGTATGTGCAAGGTGTTGCAAAGCAAAATAGCCCCCAAAGAAAAGATGTTTTTTTTTCCAGTTTTAACACTATTTTAGCATCATCAACATTACATATAAACTCAGAAGACACATGGGTAACACTTTCTATGAATGTCACGTTTGTAAGCATCTATAAACACATTTATAATATGTTATAAGGCATTATAAACATGATTATAAATATTTATAAAAAAGAATTACACTGAATTACACTTTATAGCCATGTTTATTATACATTATGAATTGTTAATATAATGCATTATAAGTAGTGCTAATAACATGTTAAAATGTCAGTGCCAAAGAAGTCAGTCCCAGCTTGGAGACTGCAAAGTAAAGACAAATACCAAGCTAACGGTGGTGTACATTACCTTTCCCACATTGGGTAAAACACTGATGGCAGCACTAGTTTAAACTCTGACATTTGAAGCCTGTAATGTGCTTTATTGTGTATGTTTTAGTGTTTCAGTAAATCCTTCAGTAAATACTTCAACTTGAAGCCTCACTCTTAACACTGGAGGAGGCTTTAGTACAGTACGCTTCACTTTACTTAGAGCGGATAAATACAACTTATGAGCTCTTATAATTTGTTATGATCAGTACTTACAATGCATTATGGTAACAATTCATAAAGCATAATAAACATGGCTATAATGTATAATGCATTTTTAAAAATATTTATAGCTATGTTTATAATGTCTTATGAATCCATTATAACATGCTATGAATGTGTTTATAGATGCTTACAAAGGTGACATTCATAGAAAGTGTTACTGACACATGTAGGTTCACTGGTCATTTTGGATAGTTAATATAATCTTATTTGACCCCTGGTTCCTATCACCACCACTGTAAAGAAATCTTAGTCGTTAAGTTTCTCTACAATTAACCATTTCACATCAAACCACTCTGATTGAGTTTATTAACATCTCAGCATGTGAATTATGCAGAAACTTACATTTGTGCATTCAATTAAACATAAATGCACTTTAACCTGCCTCAGATACTTAGTTTTTTTGCAGGCCAGACTTCCGCCTGAGAGAATTTGGTGGGTTTCGTTGCTCATTGTGGCCAAGAAAAGCACCTACTTTGGTGGTGGTTTTCACCTTTTTGGGCAGGTAATGCTTTGTTTTACAGTGCATTAAGTGCTACACATTAACCAGGTAAGTGTAAGGTAAAAATCTCCAATGTACTAGGTAATTATTTTGGGTAACATGACGGTTCCAAGGCAGTCTAGCAGAATGCCTGAGATATTAATTGGATAAGTATGTGGAAAAAACTCTATATTGTTCAAAGTGCATTTGTGAGTTCAGACCATGCCTTCAACATGGTGGTGGTAGTATGAGGGAAGACTGATTGAGGGAGGGTGGAGTTCTGGGCAGCTTCTGCCTGTAGCTAGAAGGCCAGATCCCCCTCATGGCTGTAGCAGGACTGATGTTGGACTGAGGAACAGGGAGGAGATGGGGTGGTGGTGGGGATTGCGAACGCTTCGTCACAGGAACGGAAGGTGGGGATGTGAATTTTTAGGGCGTTAGATTGGAAGAAGGAGGGGTTTCAGGCATGTTCCTCCCTCCAAACTTCAGTTATAACACAACTACATTAGAAGTACCAGTAGTTGTATGACATGAAAAGATTGTGTAAGAATAACATATAAAGAGTCTTATATAGCTTTATATCTGTTTATTACCATTTACTTCAAATCTTTTCACATCTTTGTTTTTTGCGCTGTCACTTTTAAGCCATATAACTTTAGCTGGTAACTTGAAGGTGTTTCTGATTTACTTTCCTGCTTAAACATGTGACATTACGTTGAAATAGCACAGGTATGTTTGCACCTTGTCACTTTGTCCTTTATCAGCTAAATAACTATAACCTGTAAGTCCTTTCAGTGTAATTTAGTGACACTGTCTTGGTGCCATAATTTAATCCAACATATTAACCCAGCACTTTGTAAATTGTACCTCATACTAACCCAATTAATATCTAGAACTTGTTTGTTCTTTCAGTGTAAGTGGTGGACTTAATTCAGAGTATTTGCGTTTACAGTAACTTTACTGTAATTTCGTCTCAGAACTTACTATCATTTCAAACAAATGAATTGCGGTGGTACTTTGGAGTTTGTACCTCATAGTTACCAGGTTAATACCTAGAACTTAAGGGAGTGTAAATGACAGCATTACCTAAAAATCAGACCGCCTATGTACCTCTATGGCCAGAGCACCTGAGGAAGAGACCTAAACCTAAATCTTAACCTAAACTTTACCCAAAACCTAACACTGAGTTTCAGCAAATAAAAATAGGGGACCATAACAATAAAGCACTGCCATTATTATCTAATAACTTTTTGAGTTAGCCGGTCTCTACATGTGCTTTAAGAAAAGCAAAGTTATACACATAACATGGCTCAAAAAAGCAGTGCTGACTTTACAACATATCTAGAGAATGGCCAACTTTTCTCTTTATGAGCTCTCTTAGCTTTGAGGGGACTCACTTAGCACTGCGGTCCAGAGTATCTGTTAAACTAAGTGCCAGCTCCTCTGCCCTGTCTTCAAACGCCAGCCTTATCTCATCCAACATGACCGCTTTCCTGTGGCTAAATGCGGTGGTGGCAGGCCGTCTGGAGGCGGAACTGGACAAGAAAAGAGGAAGAGAGCCAATAAATTAGGCAAGAATTTTGGTCTTTTTCGAAACTTGTGAGCAACAGTCCTGTCAGACACAGAATGACACGAATCTACACAGCGTGTATCTGCATGAGTTTGTGTCATGCAGTGAATAACAAGTACTTTGTAAATAGGCCTACTTGGTTTCATCTGTGGCTCAGATCGTACTCTTTGGTGGCATAACTGGTCAGCTCCTCCACTGATACAGTCTATCTTCAAACATGGTATATATTATTAAAGAAAAACAACTGATCTGATTCTTACCAGCCCCCAGGCCTGTAGCAGGAGCTGGTGGATGTATGCTAAAGCATGGATGTACACCAGGGGTACACAACTCCGGTCCTGGAGAGTGGTGTCCAGCACAGTTTGGTGATTTACCTGCTCCAACACACCTGATTACACTTATCTGTTAATTGCCAGGTTAAGTGGGTGTGTTTGAGTAGGGAAACCTCCATACTGTGCTGGACACCGGCCCTCCAGGACCAGAGTTGTGTACCCCTGATGTGTACTGTTGAAAAAGATGGTTCTTCAAGGGTTCTTTAGTAAAGATAATGGTTCTATATAGAACCATGAGCACTCAAAGGACCCTCTTGAATGGTGAATGGTGGTTCAGATTGATGGAGACTGTGCTGTATATGGTTCTATTTAGAACCTTTATGAAAATGGCTCTATATAGCACCAAAAAGAGCTCTGCTATTGTTAATGATGGCAAACTTTTAAAAAAAAATGTATGCATGCAAAGGGTTCTTTCAGTGTTCATGGTTCTATATAGAACCACTGTCTTCACTACACGACCCTTTAAGAACGTACATATCAGAGACCCATAGTACCATGCAAATGTCTGTAACCACACACTTAAAAGTGATGGTTCTTCACCAAAAAGAGTTCTGCTTTTGTTTATGATGGCAAACTTGTCATAATATAAAAACTTTTTTTGGTGCTATGTAGAACCATTTTCAAAAGGGTCGAACCATCTACAACACATTCTCCATCAATTTAAAGGACAACTTTATGATGCAAAGAACCATTTATGCACGCAAATGATTCTTTCAGTGTTCATGGTTCTATGTAGAACCATTGTCTTTACTAAAGAACCCTTTAAGAACCACCTTTTTTAAGAGTGTACATATTGGAGATCCATAGTACCATGCAAACGTCTGTGACCACACACTTAAAAATGATGGTTATCCAAGGGTTCTTTAGTAGAAAAGAAAAAGGTAGAACCATGAACATTCAAAGAACCTTTTCCACGATTAAAGGGTGCTTTGCATTGTGAAAGCATTCTTCAGATTGATGGAGAATGTGCTGTAGATGGTTCTATATAGAATCTTTTTGAAAAGGGTTCTACCTAGTAACAAAAACGGTTATTCTATTGTTATGATGTCAGGCTTGTTACAATAGAATAACCTTTTCAAAAAGGGGGACCCCCAGAATTTTGGTTTTGAGACATTCAGGGGGTCCAAGAAGTTAATTAGGAGGTCCCAGATCCGCAAGTATAATGAAAATTATACAATGTACCATGTTTTCCTGCTACAGTAGTACATTCAAGGGCAGTAAGAAATTTTACGTGTAAATATTTGAGTAAGTCTTAAAGTTATGAGAGTAATTATTGAATTAATATAGGCTAATCTAGACTGATCCATTATTCTATTGAGTAACAATAAAAATAATGTTATATATAAGTTGAATGCAAAGGTTTGGTCACCCTGGTCAAAAAGTTGTTTTGGGTTCTGTATGGAAAAAAAACATTTCTTCACATTATTAGAAAAAAATCTAAAATATGGCTTTTGCAAAATTTATAAAGCATTTTATATTTTTTTTCCCAAAATGTTCAACTTGTGCACTAACTTTCTCTTACAAAGTGTCACATCTCATTTCCTGTAGAGTATGTGTTAATGTATTTTCACTTACATAACAAAACAAACAACAAAACATGTAATGTGATTAGACTCAGATGGTAAAGGTTTATTTATTTATTATTTTTTTATCATTTTCAAAAACAACAAACAAAAACACACCTGTTGTCCAGAAAACAAACACAAAGAGATTTTCCCTTGCATCTTAAAACATAAACACCTTTAAATATCTGTGACAGTGTATGTGTATGAGAAAACTAGACCCACCTCTTCGGCCTCGGTGTGTCCACATTCCCAGTGACCGCACTGTCCAGCCTTGAGGAGACACTTCTGAGCGCCTCACTCCTGGAGGAAAACAAACACACAACCGACTGAAAGGAACACATTACAGCTGTAGAGATCAGCTACTCTGAGCACTCACCATCATAATGAGTTAATTTCAAATAACTGGTCATTGAATGAATTCATACAATTGAGCTTGCTCAGTTAATCATTTCATATATTATTAAAACAAACAAAGAAAGCAATGATAGCAGAAAGGATCTGCCATCACAGCAAAAGTGCACTCAAGTAAAACAGATCACAGTTGTTACACATTAAAACCTTACAAAGTACACAATGTGGCCATAAGTATGTGGACATATGACCATCACACATACATGAGCTTATCAGACATCCCCCCATTCCAAAACCATTGCCATTAATACGGAGTTGCCAATCCTTTCCAGCTATAACAGCCTCCACTCTTCTATGAAAGCTTTCAACAAGAGTGTATCTGTGGGATTTTGTGCCCATTTTGTCTAAAGAGCATTTGCGAGGTCAGGCAATGATGTTGGACGAGAGGGCCTGGCTCCCAGTCAAAGTTCAAATTCATCCTAAAGGTGTTCGATGGGGTTAAGTTCAGGGCTCTGTGCAGGCCACTGGAGTTCCTCCATACCAAACTCATCAAACGACATCTTTATGGAACTTGCTTTGTGCACAGGGACACAGTCATGCTGAAACAGAGAAGGGCCTTCCCCAAACTGTGGACATAAATTTGGAAGGATATACTTGTCTAAAATGCCTTTGTATGCTGTAGCATTAACATCA